GTTCCAAAGAGGTTTTGGGGAGATGCAGTCATGGCCGCATGCTATCTTATCAACAGAATACCTACAAAAGTCTTAAAAGACACATCCCCATTTGAGGTACTAAACAAAACTAGACCATCTATAGATCACTTACGTGTATTTGGCTGTGTTTGTTTTGTTTTAGTCCCAGGTGAACAAAGAAACAAACTAGAAGCCAAGAGCTCTAAGTGTATGTTTCTAGGCTATTCAACCACTCAAAAGGGTTACAAGTGCTATGACCCCACCTCAAATCGAACCATTGTGTCCCGGAATGTTAAATTTCTTGAGCACCAAGGATACTACACCAACAAAGATTGGGAAAGCCTTAAGGATTTATCAAGATCTCCTGGAGACCGTGCCACTAGCCTCAGATTTCTTCTTGATCACCTTGGTAACACTGGTACGCCTATATCAAATTCTAGCGATGCAACCGAGTCACTAGACATCGCCCCTCAAGCTCAAGAACAAGAGCCCGATCCAACTCCACCGCAGCAAGGTTCAGTGCAAGAAGGTGATGACATTTCGTCTGACTCAGGAGACGAAGAGGTACTAGAGGAACCAACTCACCAAGAAGAGGAGCCAGCGCCACCACTTAGACGTAGTACAAGACTGATCAAAGATCCCTCAAATTGGATTAATACTCGAGTCTACTACAATAACCAAGCTGTTGCTCATCCGGCTCAACTGCAATGCTCTCTAGACCTTGTTCCTGCTGATCATCAGGCGTTTCTTGGAAAAGTCGAGCTCGACTTTATTCCAAAAGACTATGAAGAAGCTAAAGATAAGGAGGAATGGATTCAAGCTATTGGCGATGAAAAGGGGGCGATGGAACGTAATCATACTTGGGATGAGGCCGATCTTCCACCAGGCAAGAAAGCTGTCAGCTCCAAATGGGTCTTCACGATCAAATACAAGAGCAATGGTGACATAGAAAGACACAAAGCTCGTCTCGTAGCTCGCGGCTTCACACAAACTTATGGAGACGACTATATCGATACCTTTGCTCCGGTGGCCAACCTCAAAACAGTAAGGGTAGTACTCTCATTAGCTACTAACCTATCTTGGGAGTTGTGGCAGATGGATGTAAAGAACGCATTCCTTCAGGGGGAGCTTGAAGAGGAGGTCTATATGAAACCACCACCGGGTCTTGAAGAGTCTATAGCTCCCGGTAAAGTTCTGAGACTTAGGAAAGCTATTTATGGCCTTAAACAATCACCTAGAGCTTGGTACCACAAGCTGAGCTTCACTCTTAGAGACCATGGCTTTAGAAAATCAGAATCGGATCATACCCTCTTTACACTTCAAAGCTCTCAAGGTATTGTTGTTGTCCTAGTTTATGTTGATGATATCATTATCTCTGGCAATGATATTGAAGGTATCCGGTCTACTAAAGAATTTCTTAAGTCTGTATTTGATATCAAAGACCTTGGAGCACTAAAGTACTTTCTAGGGATAGAAGTGTGCCGATCTGAAGATGGCCTCTTCTTATCTCAAAGAAAGTACACACTTGATCTCTTGAATGATACAGGTTTTCTTGAAGCAAAACCGGTTAAGACGCCGCTTGAGGAAGGGTACAAGGTCTCTCGCCAGGGGGAGAAACCAGATGAGCCGTTTCAAGATGTCCCACTATACCGCAAGCTTGTAGGTAAGCTAATCTATTTGACACTTACTAGACCTGACTTGTGCTTTGCTGTGAATCAGGTGAGCCAACACATGCAAAAACCCACTGTTTATCACTGGAGCATGGTGGAACGGATTCTCAGATATCTAAAAGGCTCAGTTGGTCAAGGCATATGGATGGGAAGGAATGACAACACTGAGATAGTCGGGTACTGCGATGCTGATTGGGCTGGGGACAGAAATGATAGAAAGTCTACAACAGGCTATTGTACATTTGTTGGAGGCAACTTGGTGACCTGGAAGACAAAGAAACAGAAGGTGGTGTCAGATTCAAGTGCAGAGTCAGAATACCGAGCCATGAAGAAACTTGCAAATGAGCTTACTTGGCTCAAGGCGTTGCTCAAGGACCTGAATATCGAGTCACCAGGCCCCATGACATTCCACTGTGACAACCAGGCGGCTATTCACATTGCAAACAACTCAGTCTTCCATGAGAGAACCAAGCATATCGAGATAGATTGTCATAAGGTTCGACAAAAGATAGAAGAAGGAGTCATCCTCCCATGTTTTACCAGAAGCGAAGACCAACTGGCCGATATCTTCACCAAAGCTGCGAGCCCCAAAGTTTGCGATCACATCTACAGCAAGTTGGGACTCGTTGATCTTGCTCATGTCTGATCTCAAGCTCCCTGATTCATAGACTTTGTACTCTTTTTCCTTGGCATAGTTTTTATCCCATGCGGTTTTTCTATGTCAAGGTTTTAATGAGGCATTGTTCTATGGGTCTTCAAGCTTAGTAATATTCTTCATATATGACTAAGCTTGAGGGGGAGTGTTGAGAAGACCAATAAAAGGCTTAGACATTATAAGTATCGGTTTGATCCTTTCATATCAATACCGAGACTAATAAATGACTAAGTCCAGAATAATAAAGGCCAATGGTATCAAGGAGCTTCAGGCCCATCAAAGTGTCCAAGAATGAGTTCTCAAGTCAAAGGAACCGATGGAGGGAAGATAAAAGTCAACAGGAAAGTGGTTAGAACCTATTTAGACATGTGACTCCAGCGCATAGCTGTCACTTTCAGTCTCGGGATCTAGTTCCCTTTGTCTCTCTCTGTAACGGTCACCTAGCTAGGGCTTCCAGCCTCTTTTTGTCTGTCTATAAGTGTATTGTAACGAGAACCTAAGACAAGATGATAATGGAGACTCTTTATTCTCTCTTTCTTGTTCATCATTTCTTTTCATTCTGCAAACTATTATCGCTAATCTCTCAATAATTTCACAGTGTCTACCTCTTATTTCAAGTCTCAAAACTCCCACTTGTCAATATAATGCCAATTGGGATCAGAATATGACTTTTACTCCCCCTTGTCATTATCATGCCAATTTGGATCAGAATATGACTTTTAGTAAAAAGAATTAGAAAACATGTAAATGATGCATCTCCTTCCACATTTAGTAGTGTCTACCTCTTACTTCAAGTCTCAAAACTCCCACTTGTCAATATAATGCCAATTAGGATCAGAATATGACTTTTACTAGAAAGAGTCCCTGTTTTTGGAGTTTCATAGGAGAATTGAGGATTATCTAAAGGAATTAGAAAACTTGGAAATGATGCATCTCCTTCCACATTTAGTAGTGTCTACCTCTTATTTCAAGTCTCAAAACTCCCACTTGTCAATATAATGCTAATTGGGATCAGAATATGACTTTTACTAAAAAGAGTCCAAGTTTTCTGGTTTTCATAAGAGATTTGAGGTGTATCTAAAGGAATTAGAAAACTTGGAAATGATGCATCTCCTTCCACATTTAGTAGTGTCTACCTCTTATTTCAAGTCTGAAAACTCCCACTTGTCAATATAATGCCAATTGGGATGAGAATATGTCTTTTACTAGAAAGAGTCCCAGTTTTCTGATTTTCATAGGAGATTTGAGGTGTATCTAAAGGAATTAGAAAACATGTAAATGATGCATCTCCTTCCACATTTAGTAGTGTCTACCTCTTATTTCAAGTCTCAAAACTCCCACTTGTCAATATAATGCTAATTGGGATAAGAATATAATTTTACTAGAAAGAGTCCAAGTTTTTTGAGTTTCATAGGAGAATTGAGGATTATCTAAAGGAATTAGAAAACTTGGAAATGATGCATCTCCTTCCACATTTAGTAGTGTCTACCTCTTATTTCAAGTCTCAAAACTCCCACTTGTCAATATAATGCTAATTGGGATCAGAATATGACTTTTACTAGAAAGAGTCCAAGTTTTCTGGTTTTCATAAGAGATTTGAGGTGTATCTAAAGGAATTAGAAAACTTGGAAATGATGCATCTCCTTCCACATTTAGTAGTGTCTACCTCTTATTTCAAGTCTCAAAACTCCCACTTGTCAATATAATGCTAATTGGGATCAGAATATGACTTTTACTAGAAAGAGTCCAAGTTTTCTGGTTTTCATAAGAGATTTGAGGTGTATCTAAAGGAATTAGAAAACTTGGAAATGATGCATCTCCTTCCACATTTAGTAGTGTCTACCTCTTATTCAAGTCTCAAAATCCCACTTGTCAATATATGCTAATTGGGATCAGAATATGACTT